GACAAAATTAATAAACACAAAGATTTGTTTCCAACATTTTGTCCAGTATAGTTCCTAAACATAAAGTTTCCAAAAAAAAGTGTGTCGACACATTTATTGTAAATATGGATCCTAAAAACATCGAAGCCAATTATTATAAAGTAATAAGTAAAATATACCGGTTTAATGAGAGAATAGGTAAAAATATGTGTCGATACATTTTCTAAAAGTATCGACCCCAAAAACATCAAAACCAATAATTATAATGTAATAGGTAAATTAACAATGTAACCGATATAAATATACCGGTTAATTACAAAACAGGTAAACATAATGTATCGACACTTGTGGAATTTGTGTCGATACTTATTGTCAAGAATGAATGCCCAAACGAGGTGCACGCATAAAGTGTCGATACATTTATTAAAAGTATCGATCCCAAAAACATCGAAACCGATAATAATGATGTAATAGGTAAATTTACAATGTAACCGATATAAATATACTGGTTTTATGAGAGAATAGGTCAACATAATGTATCAACACTTTTTAAATATGTGTCGATATTTTTTTCCATAATGAATGCCCAACTAGGTGCACGTATAAAGTGTCGATACATTTAAAATTGTATCGATCCCAAAAACATCGAAAACGATAATTATAATGTAATAGGTAAATTTGCAATGTCACCGGTATAAATAAACCGGTTTAGTTAGAAAATAGGTCAATATAAGCGCTACCTATTACATTATATAAGCGCTACCTAATATGTTATTGTACTTGATAATATTTCCGGTTAAATGCCTATTTTATTATATAAGCACTACCTATTACATTATATAAGCGATACCTAATATGTTATTGAACTAGATGATATTTTCGGTTAAATGATATAACATAACTGGTCACTTGTTTAACCAGTCACGCCGTTTTTTAGCCTTTTTTAACCGCCGCACAGCAGAACTTCCCGTAAGGAAGGAGGAGATGGCGGCGGGAGTAAAAGAAATTGAAACAAATAAATAAATGGTAAATTACACCAATCATGTTAAACTTTACCCTCTCTCCTGTTTTACTTACTGTACTTTAAATTCGTTCAATTTCTTCACTGAATTTAATATAATTAGTATTTTCGGTTACTCAACCGTTAAATATTTAACGGCATTAAAATGGCACCGTTTAAAAAAAACAAAAATTTCACCAAAACAACGTCATTTTGCATCTATATAATATTTCATTTATAACGCCGTTTAGTGAAAAAAACGGTTGAGAGACCAAAATTGTTAATTGTGTTAAATGCAGTGAGAAAATTGAACGTATTTAAAGTACAGTGAGTGAAATAGGGGAGAGAGTAAAGTTTAGTGATGATTGGTGTAATTTACCCATAAATAAAATCGGGGTTGAAATTTTGATTCTAAGATAAACTGGTATAACTTTTAATTTTATCAATTATATGACTGAACTTTGATTTTCGTTTCAATTATACCACCGAACTGTTAAATCGTTAACAACATGATGATATGCCTGAAGACTGTTGTTGTGGATGCCGACTGCCAACATAGACACCTCACCAAAATGACATCATTTTGATCCGATTTTTAATGATTTAACGACCTAATGACATAATAGAAATAAAAATCAAAGTTTAATGTTATAATTGGAAAAATTGAAAGTTCAGTGGTATAAACAATACAATGACTAAACTTCAGTTAAATCTGGTGTAGGTTACTCTTGTTTTAAACCATACATAAAGTTTAGTTTAGATTTTAGTTTTGTACCGCCGTTAAAAAACTAATAGAATTGCTAATGTGACACTTGTTTTTATTTTTTAATGATGGCATATCAATGACACTATTAAGTTTTAATGGTGATTATCAAATTGAAACATAAACTAAATGTTATATATAGTTTTTGAAAAAAAATTAGATACTAAAATGAAATAAAAATAATAATTCAGATACTAAATGTATAGTTTACCCTTGATTCTAACAATTTTTTTAAACCGTACATATAACAATCAACCTAACAATGATAGTGGGATGAAAATTTAATTTATAAACAATAAATGGTGATTTTAACACTGTTTTTTTAAATAATATATCTTTTAAAATACTGTTTCAAAATAAATTTAATTTATAAACAATAAATGGTGATTTTAACACTTTCGTATTTAGTATTGTTTAGGATAGTCACTCAACTTTGGAGTTACTTCTATTTGAATCACTCAATTCAAAATAAAATCAATTTTATTAAAGTTTTTGAATTTTCGGTTACTTATAATAAGTAATTAATTTAGCGAAAAAATGATGTGGCCTCTGTTTTAATTTACGTATTAACACACAACCTCAAATTTTCAGTATTTTCACTCACCAAGAATTGGTTTACATTATCTAAAATTTGAATATTGAAAAATTAATTATAATCACTGTTGCAGTGCTATTTGGAAGATCAACTGGAACATGAAAATTATAATGATTATTTTTTTAAGAGTTTGGTATAACTACAAGGTAATATCTATTCACGATTTTATTAATCAATTGACAACACACACCTACAGATATAATTGCTCGAACTCATAAACTCTAAAGAAACTATTATTTTATTCTATCACTGAAGCCAATTGATGAATTATATAATGTTTATTTAAATAATATACTTCACTAAAGAAAAATGGATTTTGGCAGAAAGGAGTTGAAAAAATAAGTCAATGTAGCCCTTTGACTAATATTTTCCGTTGTTGACTAATGTCTCCGTCACTTTGTGCTGACGTAGCTCGTTAAGCAGCCCAACATCATATTTTTAGTGATCAATTTGGCCACCCTCTAACTCACAAAATAACTTGATGTAACCCTTTGACTCTGTTTAATGAAGTTATAAATGGGAAAATTACACCATTCATCAAGCAATTATCTTCTTTCTCCCATTTTAATCACTAAACTTTAAAAGTTTTCAATTCTAATCCCTCAAATTTCTCCTATTTTAATCCTTGTGACTTATTTTATTAATATTTATGTATGATGTGGCATTCATTATTCGTATTTTATTAATATATGATTAAAATAATAATAATAATTAAACTAAAATTTCAAAATTGTGATTAAATCGAAAAATATTCTCAAAATTATAATTAAATTAAAATTTCAAAATTATAAACTCTCGGAAAAGACTACCTTTCTCTTCTCTGTTGTTGGTGAGTGGCAATTGACGCAACGTAGTCTAGCCGAGAATTGGAATTTCCATAAAATGATGAACAACAAGATGAACTTTTCATAGAAAAGTTTAAACTCCATTTGATTCAAAAATTTTATGGTAATTAATTTAATCACAATTTTGAAATTTTAATTTAATTAATACTATTTAAATCATATATTAATTAAATAAGAATAATGAATGCCACATCTTACATAAATATTAATAAAATAAGTCATGATGATTAAAATAGGAGCAATTTGAGGGATTAGAATTAAAAACTTTTAAAGTTTAGTGATTAAAATGGGAGAAAGAAGATAGTTACGTGATGAATGGTATAATTTCCCATTTAAAACATCATTAAACAGATCAAAGGGTCACATTGAGTTATTTTGTGAGTTGGAGGGCCAAATTGATCGATAAAAATATGATATTGGGCTGCTTAACGAACAGCGTCAGCACAAAGTTACAAAGATGTTAGTCAACAACGAAAAACGTTGGTCAAAAGACTACATTAAATTTTTCTTTCAAGTTGGAGGGCCACATTGATCACAAAAAAAACGATAAGGATCATATTGTTTTTTTTTTAAGTTCAGGGGTCTCTGATGCCTTTTTGCCATGGATTTTTTAAGCCATTACAAATTATAACATGATCCCATAGCTTGGACTCCTTCAAGTCCCCAATAAAGGAAATTTAACTCAATGTGATCATTCCCAAAATAGTAGACTAAAATATTATATGATTTTTTAAACCATTGTTAAATTTCCTTTATAATTTCCTATTCTTTTATAAAAGTCCAATAAAGGAGAAATCTAACTAATTTTCATTAAACTTTTAGTTTAAATTATAAAGGAAATATTTTCAATAGGATGCCTTTTTGCCTGTTCTTTTATAATTTAAACTAAAAGTTTAATGAAAAGTTATAAACTAGACATTCAATTAGTTGATATCACAAATAGTAGACTAAAATATTATATGATTTTCTAACATAAAATATTTTATTCATTAAAAATATTAAATTTAGTTATAAAATTCACACAATTAATTGATTACAACAATCAAGTCATATAGTACCATGTTGACCATTTCAACCTTGTATACGATGACCGATGAACTCCAAAATTTTACAATAAGATTCAACTTGATCTCATCCAATCAATCAACAAGCCATGAATGAAATCAACCGAAATTTTTTACTTTCTGAACCTCCATCTACCATCAAATGATCTTTGTCTCTATGTATGTTATTCTCGCACTAACTCGTTAATATTCAGTCACAAATTTCACCTCATGTACACACCACTCAAAGATATGATAATAATGAACGAATACCATCACACCAAACAAACACAATCTAACAACAATAATAATAGCGTTATTATTTGATACACAAGGTAAAACTTATTTCACACGGTTTGTCTATTTTAATTCCAAATCTTAAAACCTAAAACCTTAACCTTAAACTCTCAAGTTTAAACCCTAACCCCTAAATAGAACCCCTAAACCCTTAAACAGGTTTGTGTAAATTAAAATTTACACGACTTGTGTATCAGATAATTTTTCATAATAGCAATAATAATAAATAACAATGAACTATGGAAAAACGAATAAAGCAATAAAACATTAACACATTAATATTTAAAATCCATATAATACAAATTTTTGGTATATCAAAATTTATAAAGGTATAAATTTAAAGTTCACCAAATAGGTTAAAGAATCCACCTTTTAACATGGATGTTTAGGATAATATTAAATTTTAAAATACTTTTATGACTTAAATACAATAAGTTTCATTTACTATTATTCTATATTTTTAAGTTGTCACTTCTGGTGACACTAAATCAAGACTTTATATACAGTATAAATACTTTAAATACAAGTATGATAATGAGATATGAAATGACAAAATACACAACAAAACATGAATACCCAAATTTCAATGTCAAATGACTCAGGCTTATTATAGCTCCCAAACCCGTGAAGTAAAAATCAATTATATTGAATTGGTAATTGAAAGCTAATTCTGCACAAATTGCTTACAAGGTCACGCTCTGTTCAACTTCATCATGCATATTAGCCCACCATCTAACTGCGGACAGATGCGCGAGGAACAGTTGGCAAGCCGAGTTCATCCTCACCCTTCAGAGCATCCAAATTAAAATAAAAATGAAGATATTATTAGTTGGGGGATTAGATTCAAATTGAGATCTCATTGTCTCAACCAGTTATAGCTCTCTATAACTAATGTGAGCTCGACAAAGCAGATGACCATTGGTGGAAATACAAAAAACTTAGGCACTTAGAATAGAGAAAATGAGCTCCTTGGCTGTAAGTATCCGACACATACTCATGTCTGATACAGGTATGCTAAATTTTCCAAGATTTTCATGTATATCTAAAGTCCTTCCGAGGACCACATCCTCGTACATATGTCTTATTATGTGCTAGGTTTGGGTGTCAGACAGGTACTTCAAGAACATAACGAGTTCTAGCAACATAGGTTTTTCTCATATAGTTAAAATTGGGATAGTGCCAGAAAAGTGGACAATAAAATTTGAACAAAATCCTTATCTGCATCCAGCAGCAAAAGAATGATAAACGGTACATATATCTCAATTCTTGTATTGGATGCTAATATAAAACTTAACTAAAATTGGAGGGTATTTAAGTTTACCTGGGCATTGGCCCTGCCAGCTGCTGCTGCATTTCCTGATGGAGCTGAAGGTAAATTGAGCTCTGCATTCAAATCCGGTTCCTCCTTGTCAGGTTGAAGATATGAAGGAACGCCATCAGATTCGGTTCCCATGTCAGCTTCCAAAGCATCAAGTTCTTCCATCCAAAATGGATCATCAAAAAAAAAAATTGATGGCAACATTTAAGTTACATACATGCAGTTCTAGCAGACCCTAAAGTCTTTCAGACAACCAAAAGCACGTTAAAGGACTGTGAAAAAAAAAACCAAGGATATCAACACATTGACTTCTTCCAACATTACAGGTAAACATAGTCGGCAATACTTCTATTAAATTATACAAAAGGCAACCAAGAAATAAAATTTTAAGTCCATGCTTGTAACTTTATATAAGGTCGATGCTTACCGCCCATGAGTTCATCTTCATCAATATCATCAGGCACATTATAGCTTCTGCCTAAGGTCTCTTGAATTTCATTACTCATATCCATCATCTCCATCATCTCATCTTGCAAGTTCTACAGTAAAAAGAAACAAATATCAGTGACACTTCATTATAATGGACGCAACATGGAGAATGGAAGGTATAAAAGAGTACAAACGTCTATATCTTGAATCTTCACAGTCTTCATCATTCCTTTCAGCTCCTTATTGGCAGATTTCAAGGATGACATCTGGCACAGGCAAATAATTATGATTTAAAAATCGCAAGGAGAAGTAGTTCAAACATAGGTTATGCAATTCAGGGCCATTTGGTTTGAGCTGATGCCAGAATGAGTATAAACAATTTGAGATACAGATTATCATTCATCACATAATCATGAAAGAGAACTCTCCCAGAACGAAATGGTTTATCCTACCTCCCAAAAGATAGGCTGGCAATTCCAATATGGGAACTGAAAAAGCACAGATTGTATCCTCCCGGTTATGCCCCTTAGGGCACTATCAAGAAACACAAATGTTTTACAGTAAATATAAAATTTCCCCAATAAATACACTATAGCAAGCAATAGACATTTATTATCAAGTAGAAACTACCCTCAATTTTATAAAAAGACGAAAACAAATGGCAGCTCAATTACACCAATACTCCCGAAAAAACATACACAAGATGAGCAATACTAATGACTGAACAAATATCAATATCATGTTAGAAGAAAAACAATAGTTTTATCAGTTAATGCAAGTCTGCAACAGTTCAGATACATAAATGAAATACATAAGGAAGTCAAAGGCTACCACATACAGTTTGCTGAGCATCTTTAAGACCCTCAGATGCAAACGCAACTTGATCAAGGTTGAACGTCTGATTATAAAGCATATCACGTTGACCTTCATACCTACATAGCCATAAGTGTAAGAGATGATGGAATACAAAATAAAATACTCAAACTAAAAATGAGGTCAAATTAACAGAAATATTTTCCCAATATAGTACCAATAGATGATAAAAAAAACTTCGTTAATATTTAGAAAACACACACACACACACACAAATTTACAACCTTTAGCTACAAATATCAATCAAGAAACAGACTGGAAAGGCATATATTGATTCATAAAGCAAACAAATTCACGAACTTGCCGATGGCTTCAATGACTATTATAATCTATGTTACGCGGACTTGAGTGCAAGCGTTGGACATGACATGGCTAAATTTTTCCATATATTTTAAAGACTCTTGCAGGATATCCCAAATCTGATTATCGGACTCGTGTACTTCGTGAAAAATGAAGTGTACCGCCAAACATTGAAACGTAGATAGAGAAGAACGTACAAAGCATGCACATACATAGTTCAAAGAATGTACATACATAGAAACTCGACATAAATGGGTGCAAGCAAGAATTAGTGAATGAAGTTAAGGAGAGATTTGATAGAGAAGAAGCCTGTACATTCGTTTCTGCTTTAGAACCCTCATGGCTCGAGCTTTAAGAGCCTCTTGAGCAGGGCCGGGCCTTGTCTTTTTATCTGCTCTTTATACCTACTCAACTCAGCATCAAGCTTCTTCAACTTCTCATCAACCGTATCCCCTCTTTTATTGATCTGATTACAAAATCCAATATATATGATTTCACAATTAAAAGATTATGAAATGAAACAGCCCAACCAAGCACATAAACATTAATACTAAGTAGGAAATCGACGGATCAAAGGAAATTTTGAAAAAAAAAAGTAAAACAAATCAAAAGATAAAAGGAGAAAGAGAGAAACCCGATCGGATGCATCTTGAATTGAAGGTGGGGGCTCCTTGTCTTTCTTAACGCCGAACACTCTCCTCATCTTCTTTCCTTAACTAAGAGATTGATTTTGAATTAGGGGATTGATGTGTTAGTCGTTAACCAGGATAAGTTTCGAAGGGAGGGTTTGAAGTTTAAAAACAAAACAAACCGTCATTTATCTCTATAACATAAACATAATTAATTATTACTAAGAAATTTATTTGAAATAAGATGACTTCCAAAAGTCTATATTAGACCCATAAAAAGTCAGACATCTATATTTGACCCATAAAATTATATTAAAATTTCTCACATGAGGTACTGGATTGAATAAAAAATTCATTAAAAATATTTTATGATGGTAAATTTATAGTCATTCAGTTTAGGGCAAAGTACACCTGACTATACATATTATTTTATTAATTCACTCGACTATTAAAATTTATAAAATGATTCTCTAATTATGATATATTATTTTGTTAAGTCCCTCGATTATTAAAAGTTACAAAATGATCCCTCGATTTTTCATTATATTCTAAACTCATCATTTTCTATTAAAAAATTGGTAGTTGTCTAAGTTGGACGTTAACATAATGACTGAGATATAATAGTCGTTTGAGATTCTGTAATCAAATTTTATTATACCACACTCAATAAGTTAACGTCTAGCTCCGAATATTGTTAAATTTTCAAAGGAAAATGACGAGTTTGAAACATTTAATGTACCAACAGAGTTGGTTCAAGTGGTAAACAGTTTGATATCGCTTAAGCAAGATCTCAAGTTCAAGACATTGTATACAAAAATTTCTCGTCGGCAAACTCCACAATTGTAGGTTTACCAAGAGATTTATATAGTGAATTAGTACAAACCCTATAAGTGTATGCTTGTTAAGCGGTCATCCTAAATTTTTATGAGCACACTATTCATGTAAGTAAAAAACTTGTAATTTTGAAATACATAATTTCGATTATTTGAATTTAAAAATATAAAGAATTATATTCTGCATAAATAATTTTTATTTATCTATATTATGATTTTGATAAAGTTAAATTTTACTAGAATTTTAGGGGATCAGATAAAAACAGATATATTATGGTGACATTATACGTAACTTTCATATTATACATTTTATGTATGTAATAGAAAATAATTTACTTGTCATAAATGTAGTGAAAGTTCCTTCGATTCTATGTTAACATAATTGGACGGTATTATTCAACATACATCTCAATTATGATAGTAAGTCATTAAGTTCGTAAACTTTTAAGCTTATAAAACTAGGTGACATACAATAATAAAATGATATATATATATATATAGATATATATCGTTCAAGTGGAAGATAGTTATAGATATGATATTTATAATAAGGAATGATTTTTTTACAATAATGCAATCGAAAAAATTTAAGAATAGTGCACTGTCGAAATTATTGATTCGAATAGGGTGATTGCTACAATACACTCTAAAAACGTATTGCAGTCTATATAACTCTAATATAAATTTGGGGGAGACGCATGGAGCACAATGCGTCTCCTATATTTTTTTCATATTTTATTTTATTTAGTTTTAATCATTAGATAAAATATTGGGAAAGCTAAAATTGGGGGGAGAGAGACGCACTGTGATCCGGGGAGGGGGAAGTCGCATGGTGTTTCATACTACCTTGGGGAGACTAGTGTGATTTCGATGTATAATGTAGCATTCATCCCATTCGAGCAAATAATCTCTCGGGTATACTATTCTTTAAAAAAAATTCGACTGCATTATTGCGAAAAAAAAATCACCCTATAATAAGTAAATAATTATGTTATTTATTATTTTAAAAGTGGCGGTATATATTAAAGTGGTCTAATATGGTGAAGATTAATTGGACTTTAGTAATCAAATACATTACGAATCACATAAGCAACTAAGCATAGATATCCAAATAACTAATTTCTAATTAATGATGGACTTTCTAATTAATGATGGACAAATTTGAAATTAATGTTAATGTATTAGATTGTTTATTAGGGTAAAGTACATAAATGGTCCTCTGACTATAAGGTATTATTTTATTAAGTCTTTCGACTATTAAAAGTTATAAAATGGTCATTTGACTATAAAATATGTTTTGTTAAGTCCCTTGACTATTAAAAGTTATAATGTCGTCATCTGACTATTTATTATGATCCAAACTCGTCTTTTTCCGTTAAAATTGGTGATTGTCTAAGTTGAATATATAACATGATGATTGGAATATGACAGTCGTTTGAGATTCTATGATCATATTTTATCATATCAAAGTCAGCAGGTTAACGTTTAACTTAGAATACCATAAACTTTTTAACATAAAAAGACGAGTTTAGAAAATAACGACTTAGTCAGGTGATCATTTTGTAACTTTTAATAGTCGAATGACTCAACAAAACAACACTCTATAGTTGAAGGATCATTTTGTAATTTTTAATAGTTAAGGGTCTTAATAAAGCAATACCCTATAATCAGAGACCATTTATGTACTTTACCCAATTTATTAATGGCACAGTCTCTAAATTACACATGAATTAATTAATATTATTTTTATTAACATGCACCTTGCATTTTCAATATACAACATTTTTGTATTTTTTATATTGTTCTACCTTGCATTTCAATATCTTGTTATATGAATGTTTCAAGAATGATAACGAGAGATAGAATCAGATGAAATGAGCTTCAAAACTCACATAGGTAAAGAGATATGAATGATTTTAACGGACGATAATAATTGCAAATTTTGTAGCTGCAACGTGGTGAAGTTTCTCACAAAGATAGATGCAAGAGGGACGGACATCCCCCACCCGATTGACAACCGGCCAGCTCAGTTAACTCTAATATCATAGCATTTGCATGCTACACGACCACAAAATGTAGATATTGAAAATCAAATCCAAAGCAAGTATTTTTCAGCTTGTAGTTCAGTACAACACCTTACTATTTTTCTCTGTTTTGTTTTTTTTTTCCTTTCAATTTTCAGAGAATTCATACTAACTATACACTTATTTTCCAAAAGAAGAAAACTTTTTTATTTTGAAATTAAAAGTTAAAAGCTTATACAAGTGTGTGTATATATATAGATATAGATATTTGGAAGATAAGTACAAAATAATAATTAAAAAAAATATAAAAACAGCAAGGTAGAGTGCTCTACACATACCAAAAGCAATCCATGTACAAGACAACAGAGCATAACTATTACCATATATAAAACAAAACACAATGCAATGCTTCTGAACTTCGGCTGATCAAAGTCAACATTTGAAACCCCCACACGCAAAAAGCCACAAAATGATGATCAACACAACTACAGCTCCTCCTACCATCAGTTTCTTTTGCAGATTCTGCAGCCACATCCTCCGTCGCAGTTGCCGCCCTTGCCTCTGGAAGCTATCAGCCTACAATATTATTACAAAACCATATATATATTATGATGCTTACCCAGACCCTAAACTAAACCACAAAAGAGAAGATAGCACCAACCTGGAATTGCAAGTTTTCTGTTTTGTCCACTAGAAGTTCAATCTTCTCCCCACGATCCAAAACCTGTTCAGAAACGGAATTAGTGAACCGAACACTAGCTGTTACGCCATGGGAAAACATTCATTTCAGACATGGTCCCGAACTTTGAAATACGAACTTTTGGAATGAAAAGTTTTAGGTCTTGTTAAAGTAAATCCATTAGACCATATCTATGCATAGGCATGTGCACTACTGGCAGCCAAAAAACTCCAGAGCATCTGAAGGCACAAGTAGATATTTGGTTTGGTACCATAATTAGTTTGGACTGTGACCATACTGTACGTTACTAAACTAATGCACGGGAAAACTCATTCATATATGTCTGCTGCAGAAGTCGATGCTAGAGCAAGATGGCTTTTGCATCTCATACGGCAATAACTATAAAATCACAATGTAAATTTCTTTAGAAACTAGTGATGACATTTGATGGTAGCCAGTTTTCTTCTCTTTTTTCAGTAAACAAACAAAAGAGAAGATTCAACCTTCAACAATCCACACCATTAGCATTAAAAATAAAGAAAATCTTTAGCTGATGGAAAATTCAACAAAATGTGTTCATATGTAAATAAAAAGGAGGAAATTTTAATAAAAGTATTTTTACTATTCAAATCAATTTAAGTTTTTTTTCCTTTAAAAAGAAAAGGAAGATGAATTTGTATAATAATTCCCTTTTATTAATTTATGAATTATTGAAGTACATAATGAAAACATGAAAAATCTCATTACTTGTGTTAATAAACCATATTAGTACTTTTCTGGAGAAGCTTTTATCTATAGCTTTGTCAAAAATCCCAAATGAATGCAGATCATAAAAATTGTCAAGCCAAGTACCTTGCTATGGCATTTTTAGTAGAATAGCTCTTTTATCTAATCTTTTGAACCCAGAAACCTTAACAAACGTAAGCCATGATTTTACAAAGTGAACAACACAGAGAATGTTGAACCGGAAGACATTAGTAACTTTGATCCATTAGACATATTTACTCGGTGGATGTAGGTAACAAGGGCAAATGAATATAATCTTGAAAATAAGTTCCGAAGAAAGGATTTCAATTCCTAGTTTTGCCAATGGTGTTGCAAGTTGCAACTCTAAGGGAGTTTGCCTAATGTAAAAACTTTCAACTTATTATATTCACTAATAATTTACCTCTTATATAGAAGGCTTACAAATTATGAAATAAAACCCTATTTTCATAAATTAACAAGGAAAGCAAAATATCAGGCAAGTATCCTAATTCATAAGGAAAGTTTATTTAAGCCAATACGGAAATTATAGGAAATAAAAATCAGAATCAAATCCCCTAAAATTGAAGCACCTAGAGCTAAGGAGAAACATTGCATAACCAAAAAGGCATTAATGCATCAAAACAGTCTAGAAATATTCTTTATTACATACATAGTCATCACTCAGCACAGATGGGTGAAATTTAATGGCTAAGAACATCACCAAGAAAATCTGATCATCAACCAAAAACTACTATATTCAAAGACTCATCACAATCCAGTCAGTTATTCGT